CCATGCAGATCAGGCATGCTTTATCCAGTTTTTACTTTCGTTTTTAACTGAATTCATGGAATATAACCCATACTTCTGTTTCTTTACATTGTTGACAAGTGCATGTTTGGCACAAATTTTCTATCATGTTTTTACTGCGATTTTATTCTTTCCTCCCACTGACGGAACCGGTTGTCGGTTGTTCATAGGTTGTTTCTACAGATCAAGGTTTGTCCAGTGATTGAGACTAGCTCTTTCTAAGGGGCCCAACTGAGTAGGTTAAACCTTCCCTATACACCTGAAGACGGAGACAGATCCAGTCTCCGAAACGTTGTGGTTTTTTGTCTTTTTTATATACCGGACGATGGGTGAAGTCCAAAATAAGCCAAAAGAAGTACAGTATACACCATCGTCAGAATCCTTTCAAGTCTATCTGAGTAATTAAATAGACAAACAATATTAAGTACATATAAATGTTCAATATTAACAACAGCAGATATGAGACATCATATTACACAAAAGAAATCTGTGTGTTCACAAAGTAATATGGCAACTCTGGTATGCCTCAACATACTGCACAAAATACTGCTATTAGAATACTGCTGGAGTCAGCAATCCACTTCAAGCATCATTCTCTTTGGTTCAATGGGAGAACAAAAACAATCGAACTATAGAATACATGACACATCTGACAAAACTTCTAACATTATGAAATGAATTCCATATGCAGATAATTTCCCCCCAAATTAACTCGAGTTCTTATGTAATTATCTTTGTAAGCAAATTAACATAAATCGGCAATTTCTGAGTGTAAATGAAAGCAAAAGAACCTCATTTTGGTCAGGTACCATTTGATGCAAGGACAGACATGTTTAAGAATGTCACTGATTATCTACAACATGCAACAAATGAAGCCTGAGAAATTAAACCTGACACGATATGAAAAGCATTGAACTAATTTAATAAATATGACCTTGAGGGAATGAAGAGGAATCCCAGAAGCAACATGGTTATACTCATCCTTATCTGACACACTTGCAAATAACCTGCTCTACTACTTGGGAAAGTAGGGGAGTTTACTGAATAAACAGAATGAGACAGGAATCATGTACACGTTCTCAACAGTGTAATTCCTTGTTAAAAAACAAGTTGAAAACGTTGTACAACAAATGTCCTGTGATGTTTAACTTTCAAGATACACATCACTGTCAAATGGTGCAAATGATCAAGCCACAGCTGCCGCAAAGTTACAACAGGTGTTTAAAATGGCCCCCATCCATTTCAAGGCTGACAGCATCACATCACACGAGATTCTCTCACACATGCCTTAACATGCTGGCACTGATCATTCTCACCGGTGCATGGAGCCTTGATATATCTCCTACAATCCTGGGAGGGGCTGCAAAAACATGCTCCTTCAGGTATTCCCATAGGAAGAAGCCCATCAGAATTACACCTAATCAAGGAGACCATGTAACTGACCAGACTTCCAAACCACCATCATGGATGTTACATTCAACCACCGCTGTACATCTTCCCCACAGTGCAGTGGGGCTCCACTGTGCTGAAATCACAACCTCCACCTCACAGCTAGAGGCACACCTTCAGTAGCCTAGGTAGAACAGTTTCCAGTCAAATGTAAAGCACACTTCTTCTGTCCACAGAATGTTACACTTCACATCTCTTGCAGACACTGCTCCAATGGTTAAAACACACTGGTGTGTACATCACATTGACCAGAAAAACACAACATGTATTCCTATGCAGCAATACCAGCTTGACTGTTATAGGTACTGAGCGTTAAGTGTATGTTGCAGTAGTCGTCTTGGGTCTGTTCCATGATCATTCAGTTGCAACTGCCCCATGTGCACTGTGCATCTTGAGTACGCTTAACAATGCACTGTGTACCATCATGACAAGTAATGCTGCTACAAAATATGTTACTAACCTGTCTGATGGTGACATACAATTCAAAAACTAAGTGTACCAGAATATATTATATAGAAGTTTTTTCTTTTTAATCTTTTTATATTTGACATTTTTCTTTCTGAGAGACCATCTTCAGAAGGATATATGAATACAAGCAAAAACTAGTACTACAATGTAATTTCTGCTTGTATTGATATATCCTTCCGAAGATGGTCTCTCACACCGAAACATATCAAGGATGGGGGGAGGGGGGAACTAAAATCACACTGGACAGAGTTGATAACCTTTTTTAATATTACTAGTGTGACAGACCAGGATGAACCAAATCAAATCCAAGAACATAAGTTGTTATACATTTTGGACTTGTTTCTTTTTAACAAGGAATCGTACTACGGAAAATTTGTGTGCTAATTTCATTTCACCCTATATATTTAAATTAAAACACAAATAAAAATGTATATGCTCTTATATAGGGAACACAAAATATATCCAACTTAGAAATGTACTACAGGAGTACTATATAAGAAACATTTATGTTTCTGTCAAGAACACTTAAGTATAAACCATGGATCAAGTAATGCTATCAAATCCCATATGCCAAGTTTTTTTAGACAAGGCCTCTGGGTGGGACTTGACAAGAAATGTGAACCACGGTGGTAGCTGCAGCTCCAGTGGGAGGGTGACACACCTAACTACAGCATATGATTAATCCATATATGCCTACAATCATTATCTCTGTTATCAAACTTGTCCAAATACACAGTGTGTCAGGAAACATGACAATTGTACTGTGTATTCCATTGAGAACAGTCAGAACTAAAAATAGACTAGTCTTGAGACACAATTCCAACTTACTCTCTCATAAAATTTTAATTTATTCTATACCTTCCATTATTTATTAAATTTAATTACCTTTCTGATAAATCCTCATAATGTCATCTCTAAGATTGGTTCCACCAGTGGTGACCATGACTTTGATGTCCATATGTTTCGCGAGTTCTATGCAGATCTGACTAGTCTGAAGTGCCAGTTCTCGTGTTGGCACAATCACAAGTGCTGCAATATCATACAGAACTATTAACTACTGGGAAAGACCTTTTTTTTTTTTTTCATTAAATTTCAAGCCAAATTGCTCTAAATGTCAAAGTTTAAATTGTCATTTAACAGAGGAAATGCTGGGGAATCCAACATTTAACTCATCATTTCAATATATCATTAAAAATTAATGTGTTAAGTCCTCATATATCAATCAAATAATTTCACTAATAACAGACCGTTAAGTAAAATCTGCAATATTTGACTGCTCATTAAGTTTTCCTAACCATCTGATCTGTTTACATATTGTAAAATTAACACAATCAGTACAGTACCTGCTGAGTAAGCCATGCCTACACTACACCTCATGAGACAAAATACCTTTTAAAGGCTGTAACCTATGGGAAAAGGCTTTCAGGCCACACAATACAAATCCTTCAAAAGATATTACTACTATTCCATAAACATTACAAAATTTCCTTTGCACTACCTTAGGAGGAGAAAATTCCACTACATGGCATCCAGCATTTAAGAGGTTATTAACTCGTACATATACAACACTGATATATAGTAAGATAACACAGGTATTGTGTTCACAAATACTTTGATAATAAAAGAACTACAATTGTACTGGGTACATGCATGATGGGACTACATATAAAAATACGAGGTTATGCTCCAAGAATACCAATGACCCATAAGAGGTATATAAAAAAATAAAGAAAACTCCATGGCTTTTAGTCCACAAGTGGAGTAAAGAGCGGCGGGCTCATAAGGCTGACAACATTACTGCCATCTTTGAGCCGATTGTCTAGATAGTGTGGGAACCTCAACGTCTCACAACCCTATGGGCCTTCACGGCCTGGTACAGGGATAGCTTTACTTTTTTTTTACTTTAAGAGCGAATGCATACAAGCTATAGCAAATACAGCACACAGGACAATTTGTGTAGCATGTACACAAAATTTGTATCACTTCACAGGTAAGGAAACAGCAATGCATAAATGTTGACAACATTTAGTAAACAAAAACAATAATTCACCTTGAATACAATCCTTCTTCGGATCTACTTGTTCAAGTACGGGAATGGAGTATGCACCAGTCTTGCCGGTTCCATTTTTGGCACGTGCTAGAACATCCTTCCCGGATAAAGCAATGGGAATGCTGGCTTCCTGAATGGGAGACGGCTTCTCCCAGCCTTTTTCAAATATCCCCATTAACAATTCACGTTTTAAACAGAACTCCTCAAATTCATTGCCTCTGGTGTCTGTCACATCCTAAATTAAACAAACAAACACTGTATAAATCTTCTGGAATAATTTTACATTGCAGACACAGCAAAACTTTTAACTTTGATGGCAGTTATAAAGTTAAGACATGTCATTATACATTGAGTTATACACTGATCATCATCAGCACACATATACACTAAGAATTATTAATGAATTTTCCTTTTGAAAATTCCATGATTTGCTTCTGAAGTCAATTAAGAAGTCTATTATTTACATTCTTCATCCAATATTAAGACAAATAAATCAAGAATGTGATCGATGCAACATGTAGAACACATGAGACAGGTTTGCCAGCTTTGAATACAAACTGATGACCTAAAATTAGAGGCTCTGAAATTCTCTGCAACTCTGAAGGTTATAACCATATGCAGAACCCTTTCTTTCAACATGATCAACTAACATCAATGCTGAACCATGCCACTCATATCATAGTTCAGAGCTCTTGCAAAGCAACATTTCAAACCCCATCTGAAGTGCAGAGCCATCTAACAAATCACTTATGAATTTCAGTCTTTGTTTTTTAAAATTGTATTTCATATTGAAGCGGCATTTCAAAGTTTGCGTATATCTGCGGCAGTATTCACTTGTACCAAAATATCCAGCTTCTCTTTACACAATGCACACAGTCACTTCCCAAATAAGTACAAGGAGATCAAACATTGTCCTTACTGGATTTTTAACGAGGCCAATACAAATTCTACAGATAAAATTACAAAGAGCATAAATCAGTTTCACTGCACATCATATTACCTCTGAATTATCGAAGTGTTGGGCTAGCACATTTACAGTCACTGGAATATTTGGGCCCTGTCAGCGACTCATTTCTTTGAAGTATTAATGGGAACAGCAGTATTACACAGATTTTTACCCTTCACACATAAGATATGAAGCCGATTCAATGTTGGTCCTAACAGTTTTCTAAAAGATGCAGACACCAAAACAATAAAACTCTGTAGCAGATAATGGAAACAATACTCCTACTCTGTGATTAGGGGCAGCACAAGATGGTGTAGGACCGTCGCTCAAGTGCAAAAAGCAGCACTGCCATCAACGTTCTAGTGAAAGAAAGACCTTATCATGTACCAGCATGCATGAATGGTGCAACATGTTCTCTGAAGATCATGAACCACATGCTCACATTCAGCCGACCACTATTATGTAGCCAAGCTTTCTTCGCCTTACAAAAGTTTATTTGGGGGGGGGGCAAAGTAAAGGGTGTGAAACTACACCCAAAATGTTGCTGTTCACTTAGTGGTTCAGAATAAAAGGCCTTGGAAACTGTCACAGAAGACTGTACTACTTAATGTGAGTATGCATAAGTGGAAAATTTTACAGTAATTATACTGGCTACCTTGGTCTGAGAGATCACGAACCACTCTCCTTATATTTCAGATGGCCCACAGTGATTTTAATTTGTCTGGACCACTGACAGAGCATCTAGGACAGATACTCAACATGGATGATGATTTCAGGTTGGGTGTCCTGAACTGGCTACATTTTTTGTATGCTTCGAACATCAGTAAGATGCCACAGTGAGGGCAAANGGGGGGGGGGGACTTCAAGTATGGGGCAACTTTGGACCACCCCATAAAACCTGTAAAGTTATTCTTATTTTCTTAACTCGCTCACTCACTCATTCAAGTAAGTACTAGAAGCCGAATGCATGTAACTGTGAACTCACACTTGTCTGCACCCTCCTGTCTTTTGGTGGTATTTTCAGCTTCGCTTTCCACCCAATGTCATCTATTTTATCAACGCCACTGGAGGGGGAAAAAAGTCAATCTGTTAGTCATTAATATTTGGGAACAGGAAAAAGTTAACACAATAATAATAAATAGCTATTTAAAAAAAAGTGAAAATAAAGAGCAATATGTGTTTCAATTAAAATAGAAGTACTGGGAAGGACACAGAATATTGTTCCGCATGTTTAAGATAAAATATTTCTATTGTAAAGTATATACAATTTTAGTATGTTATATAATTGGAATGTGTTCAAAAATGAAAACCTTAAATTAAACTAAGTATGTTTCCCTCTTGATATTTCTCTCAGCACATCCACTGCACAGAAAATAAAATTTTAACAGCATATACATAGTACAAACTTAACAATTATCTTTGGTATGAGGAATCATAAATGACACAAGCCTATGATCAAGCCTTTCTTTATAATAAATTAACATTAAACATACATGCATATATTCACTGTCAGGTTGTGATAAACTGGCGAGATGTAAAAACTGCAGGCCTACTAAATGAATAAACAATAAGTATTAAGGGTTCTATGTTCACTGTCATTATAAGCTCTAAAAAGAAAATTAAATATAAATTGTATAATGTAACTTTGAAGTCATGCTGTAATAGAGCACAACATTAAAATAAAACAAATCTGGGTTTAATGCTATCTAAACTCAACAGCCTATGTGCATTAACTGAAAACTGATCCTGATATCTCAACTGAACATCACTCAACATCACTACAAATGTGCATACTATGGAAATTTAGTATGCCATTCCTTGTGAAGCTTGCTTCATCAGCCAAATGTGTGCAGCTGCTAAAGAAGAGACCTTCCCCAGAATGTCAACGGAATCACTGGAAATATTCTTGGATTTGGAGAATATGAAGCAGACTCACAGTTCATGCCCATTGAAAATCATACAGGCATTCTCCTATACATGTCAATGTATGCACACTTCCACATCAACTGTTTGTGCACTTCCTTGTCTTCCATGGTATGCACGGGTTTGGTAGTACACCGAGCAAACCTCTCAACATACAATGTTATAGCTACCATACCATCATGGACTTTATTGAGAAGTATTGCACATGTGTGTACGTGGTGCATTGAAGTTCTAAGGTCTCCGATTTTTTCCTCACACAATAATAATACAAAAAATTTGAAACTTCTGTCACTTTTCAACGTAATCTCCCTGCAGCCATACACATTTTTTACATCGATGCCATGATTCCATGGCTGCTGCGAACGCTTCTGTCGGGGTCTGTTTTGACCACTGGAAAATCGCTGATGCAATAGCGGCATGACTAGTGAATCTGTGACCACAGAGAGCGTCTTTCAGCATTGGGAAAAGACAAAAATCGCTAGGAGTCAGGTCAGGCAAGTAGGAAACATGAGAAACCACTTCAAGGTTGTTTTCACGAAGAAACTGCTGTGTCACGTACACCTGCATTGTCCTGGTGAAAGAGCACATGTGCAGCCTCTTCTGGCTGTTTTTCTCACAGTGCTGGAAGGAGCTTGTTCTTCAAAACATCTTGGTAGGATGCACCTGTCACCATAGTGCCCTTTGGAACGTAATGAGTAAGGATTACACCATCGCTGTCCCATGGCCACCATCGTTTCAGCACTGGCGCTTACCCAAAATTTTTTTGGTGGTGGTGAGTCTGTGTGCTTCCATTGAGCTGACTGGCGCATCGTTTTAGGATTGAAAAACGGCATCCACGTCTCATCCATTGTCACAATTGATGAAAAAAAAAAAGTCCCATTAATGCCTTCATCATGTGTCAACATCGCCTGGCAAATTGCCACACGTGCATCCTTGTGGTCGTCTGTCAGCATCCGTGGCACCCACCTGGGGGACACTTTCCGCATTCGCAGGTCTTCAACTCATTATCACAGTGAACATAACAATGCATGTGGACCAGCTGTAGCCACTTCATGTACAGCAAAGGACACAGAGAGGGGACAATTAAAGTTTGCCCCCCACTCTCACTGGCTTCTACACAAAAATACATGAACCTGATTTTTTTGCCATTTACAGCATTTGCAGCCTGATAAGACAACATTCAGGAAGAGTGGAATGAACAATATCCACAACTTACATGAACTGGCACTGGGGATTCCTGATGCTACTGATCAATCTTCAATGAAACAAAGATCAAATGTAAGGATTTGGGCCAAAATCAAGTGAATGTCTAACTGGACAAACATGTGTGATAGTGAATCATCTCGACTGAACCAGGTATGCTACCTTCCTTAAAAGAACACTTCCTCTTCTACTCAAGAATGTACCTTTTAACATTTACAAGGGCATGTGACTTCAGCATGACAATGACTGTCCTCTTTTCATATGTAATTTGATCATGTCAGTTTTTTGGGCACATGATGAACCATGCAGGCCCACTCCTATTCTTCACGTTTTCCTGGTATGAACCCACATCACTTCATATGCGACGCATCAAAGAAAATGCTTATACTATAGAAGTACACCACAATCATATGATCAACTGCATACTGGTTTGTGTCAGGGACACTGTCTGAAAACACTGTGAAGCACACATGCAAGTCCCTACTATTTGAGCAGATATTTATATTAAATGTAGTGTAAAATGAAAATAAAGAGCTCATAACTTCAGAATTCTTTATTTAATTAAATTAAAGAGTAATACATAAACATGTTTAATGTAAATAACCATATGTATACATGGCCAATTATTTAACTTTCCTAAAAAGTGGCAAAACTCATCAATAAACATAATGAATTGAACAATTCATTTACATTTTCTTCTCCAAGTTACCTCCCCAAAAATCCTCTAAGTCTGGCCATAAATCACACCACACATGAGTAAAAGGGGAAATTATGTAGTCTTGATTAAAAATGCCTGGCATAACCTAGCAACCTGTACTGGTTCAACCATTAAAGCTAATTATATGACCATTACAGGGTTAATGCTCAAACTCACATTTTTCCAAAAAGTTTTTGAAAGGATTTGTATACAAACTCTTCAAAATCCAACAAAGTGTTTCAGATTTGAAAGAAATGACACATACTGCTCTGTCTATAGAATGCTTTAAAGATAAATATCATGGTATGTGAAAGGGAACTAATCCTTACACTTGGCCATATTTTGATGAGGAAGACTGAAGGTGCATGAACATCTTATATCAGATATCAGATTCTGGGATTGATATCACATAGTTTGGTAAATTTGTACCAACTATCTGAGAGAACCTGCTGCTTTAGTCTTCTACCCCAAGGATATGGCAATGGGTTGATTCAAAACATTGGTACCTGTTTACCAAACTACAGTACCACAGCTCAGAAGACCTTCAGTCACTGTGTAACTGATACTCAAACTTGAAGTTATTGAAAAGTACTCATAAATCTAAAATAAGCTTGGTTAAAAAACTAAATGGGTACTGTTCTATAAATTTTCTAATGAAGAATAAAAACTTATACTCATTTTAGTTTACTGTGAGTCTTCAAATTGGTTTCATTAAGATCATTACGTTTTTACAGCTGCTGTAATTACACATGTGCTAGGATTAAGAATACAGGAAGACTGCCCCGTCAAAAGTACATACCACAGATCAGAATTGCAAAGTTCATTTATTATTCAAATGCTGGGGAATCCAACATTGCAATCATCATTTCTATGGAACAACTGAACACTTTTATACAGAACAATATTATTATTACTGCTTTAAATTCGGAAGAATATAACACTGTCAGGCCTTAGTTTATACATACAGTACCGTGGATAACTTTCACAAGTGAGAATAGCTTACACAGCACAGAAAACTAAGATGACATATACCAATATTTTGCATATTTAAGTGAGGGAAATCACAACTTACCCCTTTTGACTGCTGATACTGTTCAGTCCTGGCATAACTGCCACATGATTTGAATTAATGTGTGTTTCTGTCATCATGGTTATGCTGGGCCAAGAATGGCCAAAAGCTTGTATCTATGATAGTTAATAGTTCACGTATTCACTTTCACCACTTGTTTAAAGGGCACTGGAATAACCACGGTGGTTCTGTAGCACTACTAAGCACTGTATGAAAACTGTTGGAACTTGGCAACAGGCTAAATCCTGAAATAGAAACATGCAACATTCAATTTCACATACATATAATACAGTGAAGTACAGAAATATAAAATTTATCAGCATTATATTGACAACTCTTGTACAACATATATACAAGTAAAACACATGTTTATAGCCATAAATTCTTGGTAGCTATCTACACACAAAGAAAGCTGTTTGTCCAGTTGCTAACAAAATATTCCAAAAGTGTAGAACATCTATTAAAAAAAATGTACATACCAAAACACTTCTGGCATAGCTGATCCCTTTTAATTAACAAAAGCACCATAGCAATTAGGAAATAATATGTGTACTGGACATAAAATATCTTTGTTTCTCTAAAACTTTTGTACAAAACATAATCTGTTCTCATGTTCTTACATGATCATGGATAGAAAAGTGAAGCTAACTGGATGTATTTTTGCAATTTTTCATTGCAAACATATCAAGTTACTTCCAGTGAATTACCATTAAATTCACCTTCTCAAAAGAGAACGATGCGACATCACATTTTCTTTCTTTTTGCAACTGCAGCATTACATGGAGATCCCTTCATGCAGTATAGACTATTGCCTTGTCATAATCAAATAATAGGAAGGAAATCTGAGGCACAGACAGATTTTATGGTACCTACTGTTGCAAGAACTAATCACAGTTTGGCTTCTTTTTTTGGTATTTCATTAAATATTCTCAGCAATAACTGTTTAGAAATGAATGCAGAACTTAATCTCATATATAGAAAGGTCTCACAGTGCACCATAAATTAGTCAGCCAGTCCAAAGCAAACGTCATAATCTCCTTGCGTGAACTCTTTCCCCACATTTGGACCTGCTGTACAACTGACAAGCCCACAGGCCAAAAAAACTTGAACTGCTGACATCATGAAATTTATGCTCAAATCTTCCCTTTACTTTTCACATGGGTAGCATGCATGAAGCCCCTTTAATGGGTAACTTTCACATGGCATTTTGAAACAAGACGCAACAAAACTGATGGAATAACATGATTAGGAGGGGCTTGGGATTACAGTCAGCAGGCATGACATAAGCACACTTCACAGTAGCTGTTTAAAGATTATTTGGGTGGGGGGATACTGAAGACAAATTGCAATACATATAGCCTATTGGCCTGCTGACTATGCCATAAGTCCAAACATGCAAAATGTATGTCCCTCCTGCTGAACTGCTCATGCAATCTGCAGTAAACTTGCATATTATTTCCCTGTACATTCTACTGCATGCACTAATCTCTTGTATGCTGTGAAATTTTGGGAGATTCAGTGACATCTGATTTGAGCTTCATGTATATGCCTGCATGGGCGTAACACAATTCAAATTTAAACTTTCCTTACATTTGGTGTAATCCCCCATCCACTTTCACTCCATTCAGTAGTGCCAGAGACAGGTGTATTAGAAAGTGCCCAGACTAGGTCAAAAAAGAAATGCTAGCTTAAATTACACAATTTTGACTACCATTTCCTTCAAAATAGTCTCCTTGGGAACGTATACAGCTATCCCATAATTTTTCCACACTTCAAAAGCACCATGGAAATCATTTTCCTTAAAGCTGTAAAGTACCATTTGCAATTCCCTTGGGATGTCAGACACTATTTCAAAATGTCATCACCTCAGTTTCATTTTCAATTTGGGAAACAAAGCAAACTCACAGGGGACTAAGTCCAGCAAGTAGGGAGGATGAGGAACGATAACCATATTGTTGTTAGTCACAAACTCTGTTGTTTGCAGGAACGTGTGGGCGGGTTCACTGTCAAGGGTTTCGGAGGTGGACTTACTGAGCTTCATGCAAAACTTGATGCAGACATGTTGCTCGATTTTGCCATCCATTGCAGATAAAATGAAACACAAAGTCAAAAAAGCACTCATGAAAGAACAATGCATGTTCATAGAGAAGTGTCACGTGGCAGACTGATGCAATAGGCTTTCAGAAGTGTGACCTTGGCCTTCCTTCTCATCTTCTTTCACTGAGGCTGTTACAACAATAACAGTCCAGGAACCTTCTGACACCACTTCATACAGATGGGTATGTTCTCTCCCATATGCATTTAATTTGAGCAAAGGACACAATAACTTTACAGATGAAGTTTCAAAATTTATAAGTTAACTATCTGTGAGCTGGGCAAGAAAGAGTAAATGACATCATGGGGAGTAAAATCCAATATATTTTTTTAATATTCTTCTGCGGACGAGATGCCTCATAGTTTAGTACGCAGGTTCAACATGGTATAGAACCCCACTGCCTCCATCATGTGCCATGAAGATGGAGGAGGCAGGTTTCCTTGAATTACGTACCATAGTACACAGCATACATGAGGGTTATTCAGAAAGTAACCTCCAAGATGTTAACAAAACAAAGAAAAAAATGATATACAAAAATATGTACATATTTAAGCTACTTCTCAAAATGGCCACACCACAGCTCAAGTGGTTAGTCGCTGGCTTCCCACCGTGGCGGCCCGGGTTCGATCCCAGGTCTGGTCAAGTGGGATTTGTGGTGGACAAAGTGGCACTGGGGCAGGTTTTCTCAGAGTACTTCGGTTTCCCCTGCCAATCTTCATTCCACCAATTGCTCCACAATCACCCTCACCTATCATCTGGGGCTGATACAATAGGCCAGAAGTGGCCACAGTACAAGGGACTTAGTGCCACCCCACTAGCAATAAAAAAAATACTTCTCAAAGTAGTCACTGCCGGAACTGAGACACTTGTATCAGGGAACAAGTTTTTATACGTTATATTTTAGCGTCCTGTTGCACTGACTTAAGTCCATGATTTATTTCAACCGTCTTCCAGTGCATACACTCATCTATCTCCTCCTCTCACTCGCACCACATGTTTCGGCACAAACGTGCCATCTTCAGGTGCTCATTCGATTTACGCTAAACTAGTTCATTGCATGCCTTGTCGTCTTCATATTAAAATAAGTAAAACATATATTTATCATATATATTGATAAATGTTAAATGTTAAAAATATTAAAACTGTACAGGATTTTTCATCTCTACGTCGTATCTCACTACGCGAGTCACACCTGTCCTCTTCTGTTGGAGCACTCTTTCACTATCGTGTGTGTATTGTGCTTTGTGTTGTGTCTTGCTCCTGTGACTGCGTGTGTGAAATCTGTGGAAATTCCAATGAAAGATCTCAAATTGTGAAGCACAGTGTTTCACAAATTCGTTCGTCAACACTGTGAACAAGATCATCACTCGGCACAGATGACCAACCACTTCGCTCTTCATTGTGACCATCTGTTCGCTGATCTCTGAACATTCTACATTGTCTTACAATTCCCTGACTCATTACATTTTGGTTGTAAACTGCCACACATAATTTGTAATGGATTTCCATAGTGCTCATGTTTTTAGCATGAAGAAAGTGAATAACAGTGGTAATTCTGCAGCTGGTGGGATTATCAACCCCAGAACACATCATTAACTCACTCTGTAGAGACAAGAATAAACACTAAGTGACCAATTACGTGATGGTTCACAAGGCAATGAGACATGTGACACTACATCACATACACAAGCTCTCCCTTGCTCATACAGTTGCCTAAAACAAATGAAGACTGCTTTCCAAACAGCTTTTCTATCCTGAAAGGTTATCTTCCCTTTTAGACGGTAAAGAATCAATATGATATCCATTTCATATCCATATCATGCCTTCATTATCTGGGGTTTATGATAAATTACAATATATGAACAAAGTGCTTTCCATTGTTCTGGTATAAATACTTATCTTCTTTCAAGGAAACTAAAGATTAAAAATATATCATCCACTGTTAATTCAACAATTATTCATTTCTGAAAGTGGAAAACATTCTCCAAGATAAACAACTGAAACTGAAGAAAGTTTGAGAACAAACAGAAACTGAGATATACAGTGTTTTCAGTTTTGGGTAAAGTATCTCATATCCTGTATATGTTTGAAGCCTGAGGTGGTCCACAACTTTCACTAGTTACTATTTTCTCCAACTCAGTCTTTTAAATGTTATTTAAACAGACAGATCTGAGACATTTTGTAGTCTGCACCTGAAATTTGCTCTCATAAATGCAGTACACTCATTTTCTTCAAAGCTGGTATGAAATTTCATTACATTTTAATACAATAAATATATTGCTCACATCTCTCCACTATTCCCGTCACAATACATAAATGCATGGACTGCATCTTGCACCCCCACCTCCCCAATCACAATAAAAATTGTGGTGCATACCTTACAGACTTATCTGTACTCTGTACTGCTGACTGGTCAGGGTGCAGTGATGGATGACAATGGAGCAAAAGTGAAATTACAATTAGCAGAAATTCAGAGCAAAGTCTGATCCAATATCACTTTGTCCACCATGAATCTTAATTAAGTCACCTAGCACTGAACTCAAACTAGCTTAAGTTTGGCTGGATTTGGCTATGCAACAGTTTCTAATACCTAACCACCTACCCCACCGCAAAGCCTCTAAGTATATAACATGTGCATTACATATTTATACAAATTTCCAACATCCCATTTGCTAATATTCACAAGACCACAAAATCAGTACATTTAGTCTTAAGCAATAAGCTCAACTAATGCAACCCTCACAAATATGGAATTCCACTATGGACTACATACTGAACAAAATATAAAAGCCAACCATTTCACAAGCATCATACCTATACATACACACAGAGGTACAAGTAATGGATATACTTCACAGTCTACTTCAAAATCCTAGTCAAGAGTAGGCTTAAATTTTCAATAATCCTGGAGGACCGACTTATTATTCCTTTAATAACCTACACTTTACACTGCCCCATTAACCAAAAAATATATCCTAGCTAACATTTTAAAATAAGATATCCTCCTAAATAATAATATATTGCATTCAGACACTGAAAACTCTTGGGATTCGGCAACTGATTCATTAAACGAAATGCATGAACCAACTACAAACCTCACTTAACATCACTTTCACAAACACATTACTAATCTACATGTGGTTCCGTCTTAAGCTATTGGAATACAACGAAATTCCCATTAACAATACTGAAGCCAAGCAAATCTTCCAAACGATAGTCTTTTACGCAAAGAAAACCGATGTTCATGAACATCTTGTACATTCCGCTTTCAATATCAATTTTCCACAAGTTTCGTGCATATCAAAATTGTTCCAATTACATTATATACACATACAAAACTTTTCTCGAGTCATTCAAAATAGATTAGACGTTATACACCAAAACGGCCAATGACTATCCAACTAATTCAGTTCAATAGTATACAGTATTATGTGCCACGGAAAACTGATACAAATTCATCTTCCGTTACAGCACGAACGTCAACATTTCAAAATAGTTCAGACGGGAACAGACATGCCAGTATTAAATTCATTCCCTTATTCAAATTCATCTCATTAACTTCAATGTTTAAAATAAGTATAACTTTAAACGATGATGTTGGATTTATACTAAAGAAAGAATTAACGCAAAGATGGCGACCCACGTCAAATTCATGAAGTATTCGTTAAGTAGGACTGGAAATAAATATAACTATGAAAAGCGACTTTACCTGTAGACGTAATCCAGTACAGATACAAGTACTGAGATATCATGTAATGTAATATAACACCCTGCAACTGATCATCCACCGTCTGCAACATATGTTCGTTACCTGACTTACTAGAGAAGACTCTTATGCAGCTAGAACGACAAAGTATTTTTACGCCATCTGAACAGCAGTATACGTTATGAGTTCGCACCAAAGATGTCGTTATTTTGGATCCCACAATCACTAGGTTATATTTAAAATATTTGAAAACTCAAAACATTATCATAATAAACCAAAAACCTTCTCAGATCGTTCTATTATATATGTGAATTATAACAAATGTAATATGAAAGTAACTTCCATGCACTTAGCCACAAAAGTATTACTTTGCGACTCCAATATTATCATGTCTATGTATTACGACGCATGTAAACATTTACACACCTTAATAATTAAGAAATCTCACGAACTCGTATCACACAGTTTTGAATTTTACATTTTCTAAAAACGAGGGGTTCAAATACATTTAATAACTTTCAATTTTTAATTAACCAAAATAAATTTTTCCTTTTCGGTCCAGTAATCAGAATAGCCAACATGAAAATGCCACCATGAAACCTTAGCCTGTCTCTGTCTCTCTCTTTACACACTGCAGCATAGTCTATACCCTCTGGTCACACCGTGTACTTCAGTTGAACATTATAGATGGCAGGTCAAGTTCAAACTCAATGAAAACTACGTCATAATACTTAGATTTTCCACAGTGGCAGCACAGTTTTTGCAGAGAGGAGCGAATCAATGCTGCGCATCAAAGGTCCTCAAACGCTGTCTTACCGCCACCCCTGAAAATAATGCAGAATTTATATGACTCCTTCATTTCTGCCTGTCAGAGAAAATTTCAATTCTGCACCTTCTTGAAGGTCCTAAACAGGCTGTACTGTGGTAGCTGCAACAGTTCTACAGCTTTTCTGAGCTCTTTCACTCATGGAGCTGAGCCATTGTTGAGAAGCCGCCAATTTTGTAGCTGTCAAGAACTTCCCAGCATTTTATTGAACCCGAAGGTTCATTGCCCACCCACCAACATCTTGGTCTTCACAGTGGTCTCCTTGCTTTTGGCTTTCCCACCAATATCCTGTATGCATTCCTGTTCTACCTCATTCGTACTACTTGCCCTGCCCACCTCATCCACCTTGACTTGGTCATTCTAATTATATTTGTAGAAGAGTACAAGTTATGAAGCTCTCATTACGCAGTTTTCTCAAAATATTCTCCTCAACACCCTGTTCTCAAACATCCTTACTCTGTGCTCCTCTCCTAAAGTCAGAAACCAAATTACACACCCACACAGAACCACAGGCAAAATTATAGTTTTGTATATTCTAACTTTTATGTTTTTGAACAGCAGACGAGAAGACAAAGGTTTCTGCACTGAATGCTAGCAAACACTACCCGAATTCAATCTCTTAGTTTCCTCCTGAATCAGATTCTGATTGGTTGCCGCCTTTCCCAAACAGTTAATCTTTGTAGCATTTTCAAAGTATCTATTAGGTTTTCTTTTTTGTTATGGTTCTATCCTGCATTCTGGTGACGAGATATTTACATATGTTTAGTTACTTCTCTGTTTGCTTCTAGACCAACCTCCTTACTAGTATCAATTAAGGCTTCTTTGTTTATCTTTATAGTATTTATGTTATTTTCCAGTAAATTTACATCATCAGTAAACATCAGTAACATATGTGTCCCAGTTAATTTATGTCCCACTTGGTTTTCTTGGACCTTCCTAGTGACACATTTTAAAGCGAAGTTGAAAAACAGTAGCGATAAATCACCTCCTCGTTCAGACGATTTTTATAGGAAAACTATCAGGAAAATATTCACTTATACTTACTCTACTATGGATTTAATCGAGTAAATTTTAATAAACCTATCTAGTTCGATGGATTCTCCAAACTGAATGAGAATACTGGACAATACTTCCCTCCTAACTGAATCACAGGCTTTCTTGAAGTCTATGTACAGTTGATGCACTGTTTCATTGTACTCCCATTTTTTCTTCCAGTATCTGAAGGAATAGAGAAATCTGATCATTAGTTGATCTCTTACGTCGAAATCCAAGATGATGATCCTCAATAATTTCGTCTGCAATTGACCTAAACCTTCCGGCCGCACTATGGCCGTGGTGTTCACTCAGCCTCTAACAGAAATGAGTACCAGGAATTAAATAAATAATTTTCCTGGGGAACAAAGCGCGGCCGGCGCGTAAGGCTGACAACCTTACCGCCATCATTGAGCCGACTGTCTAGATAATGTGGGACCCTCAATGTCTCACAACCCTATGGGCCTTCATGGCCTGTTACAGGGATAGCTTTACCTCTTTTTCTTTACTTATGGATTTAAACATGAGAGAAGGATATTGTATAGTGTAAACATTTCTCCTTTCTAGTCCTCCTATCAAAAATGTGTATGTTTAATTGTTTCCTTACTTTGCTTCGTAATTTAGTACTGGAGAGTTCGAATTCAAACAGTGGACCCGATTTCTAGCCTCCAAGCTCCTGCAGGTGGATGATATAGTCCTAAGGTTACCCTAATAGAATTTCTTCCATACTAACTGGCAGTTATTCTTATGGGGGTGTATATTGTAGCACGTAGACCAGATGCTAAATAATGACCCATATAACAACGCCGGCAGCAGTTACGGAGCAACTGTTTCGCAGACAAATACGTTCCCACGGAAATGATTAAACTACAACGACAAGGAGCAGTGTCTTATACGCGGTTCGTGCCAAGAGGCTATAAACGGGAGAAGTTTAGAATTTAGTCAGTTCGCAGTGTGGAGACTGGGTCCAGTACTTCCACCGTAGCCCTGCGAGTCGTAGGAGGCGACGAAAATGAAATATCGAATCTGATACAGTAAAATATCGTCACAAGTTCCACAGGATTCGAACCCGAAAATGACTGAGCTAACGAGGGTCAGCAGCGATTGCAAATGGCAGAACCGTCCTGATGAGATCAGAGAGAGAGAGCCCCACATCAACAAACCCACAACTGCCTGACAATAATAAATATCTGGTCGTAAGCAGACGTTAGCAGAGGACATTGTTAAGACCCGTTACCAACAAACGACTAGTGAAGACATAGAAGACTTCATGTGTTCTGCTGTTACAGTGAACTTTAGAGTATGTAAACTAGTGGGGCTGTTATAGTTGCTTGTAGTTACGATATGGAAGAGTGCAATAAATCCAATTACCAATCCAAATAAAAAAATATAGTCACTCCCTCAAGTGACAAAGTATACAAATATCGAGTAGTTAGGAATGTGTGTACTGCATAGATAGCAACAGGTGAAGATATGATTGGTACAATTGTAATTTCTGCCAGACAGCAAAAGAGAAGGAGGATGCAGCTACTTTGATAGGCATTAGAGGAACGGCTCGTCTCCGTGGTTCGTGAGATCAAAATGAACCGACGTGCCTTCGTGTCAATAAACCGTATGAGAGCAGGCCACATCAGTCTTAAAGCAAGCTTAAGAAGATTTAGCATTGTGTCCACGGCTGAATGTGTATGTGGTGACCTGCAAACGGAGGAAAGTATCTTCTAGGACTGTAAACTGTACGAGGACCAAAGAGCAAGAATGATGGACATTTTGTCTGAGAACAGCAAAAAGAATACCCAAATTCAGTTACAGATCTCCTAAGGCTAGAGGAAAAAAAAAAGAGTTATGCAAGGCGTCTCTTACTTCATAACAAAATTCATAAATTTATTTTAAAAAATAGAAACAAATAAATGTACAAATTATTAGTAGTATATTCTTAGATTTAACTTAAGAGATATATTCAAAAAAAAGTGGGGCGACCGCTATGATAGAATAAGATGTTTATACGACTGTGCTACAGATGGCCGGATCGGCATTGCTTAGGCATTTTTGCATATACATTTATTTTTTCAAAATAATAAAAAATACAATTGCATTGGTTCACTTTGCGACATGAGAATGCTTCTGGAAAAGGCGCCGCGTTAGCACCGTCAGCTCTAGTCGTAGGTTTTCACTGGGACACTGACTACTGCCTCTCCCTTTAGTTGCTGAAATCACCTCCACTTGTCTTTACCCTTACCCCTTTTCTTTGTTGATATGAGGCGGTATGTTAAGAAGATAGGAGGTCTGGTATTGGGCGCCAGCAAGTTCAATGTAGTGTTGCTTACAATTAGAGGCGGGCATCCAGGGTAAGGTTTAGTTGGAGATAACTGGCTCTGTTCAGGACTCGGCAGGCCGGATATATTATTCTGGGATCTTACAGGCCTTGATCTTGCAGGCAGGAAGAACCCAAACCCTACACACTATTCACAGCACAACAGGAAATTTTCTCCTAAAAATAATGATTCATTAAACCATGGTATGGCAGATACTGATTTAGTCTGCTAGTAATCTTAACTCTTATATCCACTTTAATAATGTAGTCGCTTATAATTATGTGTGTGTTGCGCTGCACTCTGTCAGGTTACGAATCTCGGACTGCGACAAAAGTTTTTAAGTTTTTGTAATTTTGAATTTAGGTTGAGTGACGCAAGTTTGTGTCCGTATAAGTAAAAAGTTAAATCCAGAGCGTTCCCTCGAGACTGGTCTCTCCTGGAGCAGAGATCTCCTCAGAGACCCAGCCTCCGGAAAGGCTCCATCCTCCAAATAACTCTTGTTGGCTTATTTTAAAATTAAGGAGTGTTCCTAAATTTACTTTTCTCAATCAACTGTACGTGTTTCGTTACTTTGGATCTTAAATTGCAAACTGCGTTTCCGACAGCGCTTTGATCTATGATAGCCATATCGTGGGTATCCTGCGCACCTAGTTCTGAATTATTATGCCCAATAACTGTCAGGAGTCAGATACACAATCGGATGCTTTGAAGATGAAACCTTGGAAAAGTAAAATGTAATACAAGACCTGTATTTTTATACACAACTTTGATTCAACTTGATGTACTATAATCTATAATCTATGTAATAGTAGTTCCTTAATATGCTGTTGCCTTCTGAAGATTGTCACAGCTGACCGAAACATGTAAAGGCATTACAAAATTATACATTGAGACACATTGGACGGTGTTGTCAAATCATTCTATAATATTTAACGAGTATGACTGACCAGGGGCCGCGCCGTAGCTCAAATGGGTAGTCGCTGGCTTCCCACCGCGGCGGTCTGGG